TAGAAGGTGTTGAGGTCATCCGGCAGGCTGTCTATAGAGCTGATGATGCTGGTGGTGGTCCTGTAGTCTGTGCTGTGCTGCAGGCCTTGCCACATCCATCCGGAGTCAACAGTAGAATAGAAGCCATTCAGCTTCTCTCTGTACTGCCTCTTGGCCACTGTGATGCTTTCCTCAGTTTGTACTTTGCAGTTTTGTACTTCGTGTCATTGCCTGATCTGAATGCATGAGAGCGAGCACGCAGCATGTGGTGTACCTGACTGTTTATCCAGGGCTTCTGGCTGGGGAACCTCTTGACTTGTATGGTGGGCACAATGTTGTCAAAACAGGTACTAACGTATCAGCTCACATACTCAGCATAGTCCTGTATGCTGACAGAAAAGTCCTCCAAGGTGGCTGCAGCTTTAAACAGTCTGTCTGGGCAAAACAGTCCTGCAGCGGACTTTGGAGCAGTCTTATTCCTTCCTTCAAGCTTGGATCCTCTACCAGAGGCCTGTGAGCTTGAGGGTCCTGTGCAGTATCTTAGCTGGTTCTAGGACTGCACTCTTCTGGACAGAGATCTCAGATGTTGTTCCTGGGATCTGTTGGAGCCACTCTCCCAGTTTGGGGGTCACAGCCCCCAATGTTCCAATTTTGATTTTGGAGCTTCCAGCCTGTACTCAGCACAGATGTTTCTGTACACTATGCCAGCCACTTGGTTGCATTCCATGTATGCCCTGCCTGCTAGCGTCTTGCACCCTGCTGTTATGTGCTGGATTGTCTCAGGGGCATCTTTGCACAGTCTGCACCTGGGATCTTGTCTGGTATGGTAGACCCCTGCCTGTATTGATCTTGTACTTGGAGCCTGTTCCTGTGCTGAATTTCCCTGGGAATCAATAAAGTATCTGTCTGTCTGTCTGTCTGTCTGTAATCCATGTGACGAGGGTTTCATCATCAGCTTTATAAACAGATTGACAAAATACAGGATATTGAACTAATGTGTCCTCTGGCCATTGCCAGAGATGTTGTGGCCATGTTGTACCCCCGGCATGAACTTCTCCACCTCCACATCTGTTTTCTGCAGTTACCATCAGCCTAAATCCAGAGGCAGCAGAACCAGGACCAGAACCTTTGAAATCTTCTGTCAGAGTGAGAACAGAGAAACCCATCTGTTGTCAGCGGCTGTGTTATGACTGGAGCACGTTGTGAATTCATTCCCCTTTACAAATGATGTTTCTCTCTGCTTTAGTAGTGACAGGAAGATGAACAGAGGCTGGTGATGCACCATGTGGTGTGGTTCTGTGATGAGGAGAATGTCTTTCTCTCTCCTGACTTCAGTCCTGTTTCCTTTCAGGAACATTGCACGTAGGAGACGAGATCAGGGAGATCAATGGTATCAGTGTGGCCAACCAGACTGTGGAGCAGCTGCAGAAGATGCTGGTGAGTGTGTCTGTGTGCGTGCAGATGCTTTTAACTAAAGCTGGATCTATACTTTGCATTAAAAGGCTGCAATGCCCCACAGCAGTTTACAGTGCCTTGCGAAAGTTTTCGGCCCCCTTGAACTTTGCGACCTCTTGCCACATTTCAGGCTTCAAACATAAAGATATAAAACTGTAATTTTTTGTGAAGAATCAACAACAAGTGGGACACAATCATGAAGTGGAACGAAATTTATTGGATATTTCAAACGTTTTTAACAAATAAAAAAACTGAAAAATTGGGCGTGCAAAATTATTCAGCCCC